TCTGACTCCATTTATTTCTATATATCTCTTTTATCTCTCATGCTCTCTATAACTTTACTATAATATTTACTTATTATCGCTGTACAATTGTGCCTACCGAACCCGTAGTGATTGTGCTAGGAGCTGGCTTCTTCTGGCACCCTAACCCTCCCCACCTCTCCCCACCCTTCCCCACCCCCACAGCCCCCATACACTATTGCCCTGGTTATTATGAGACTGTAAATCTTTATGGGAGCAGACAGTCTCATCTTTCCCCCTTGGAGTGGCAGGTGGGTTTGAACCACCGACTTTGTGGCTAGTGGTCCAATGCCTGTTGCATAGCAGCCCCAGGGCTCCTTTATGGAGATCAATTAGAAAACATGATAAGCCCAAATCCACTGCCAGGAGTCAATTCTAATTCATAGTGACCCTGTGAGACAGCATAGAGCTGTCTCTTTGGGTTGTTAAGATTTTAAATATTTTGGGGGCCAGACAGCCTCCTTTGAACCATTTAGAACAGGTGGTAGGTTTGAACCTCTGACCTTGTGTGAGAAACCAGCTCTCACAAATTGAACCACGGTCGAGAGAGGGGAATGGTGGCATTGGAGAAAGATAGATAAAAGATGAAAGACAGGATAAAGTTGGGGTGTATAGACACTGCAAGGCCCAGAACTTCATCCAGGGCAGGTTTATATACAGTTTTGGTCACCTATCCTGCACTTGGTACAAGTTCTCATACAAAGGGTCTACTGACAATTCCTTGAAGGGAGGCGATAATATTTCAGCCAATTTAGCTATGGTCTGGAGGGGAAGATAAAGCCCAAACTAGGGGGTGTAACTGCACCTGCAGCATGCTGTGTTTCAGCCCTTGTTGAAGTTCAGCCCCTCCAGTGCCTCAGCTCCCTGGGGAGAGCTATTCCCTCCTTCCCACCGGCTGGGCCTAAACCGTGGAATGTAGTGGTCTTGTACTAAGTGAAGAGGGAGATGAAGTTCAGGCAATCCCATAAATGCACACTGTGCTCAGAAGCCTCGATTAACTGCTGAGCCTCCAGAGTTCCTTCAGTAGAAACAAAGTAACAACAGCAAAGCCAAATTCACTGCCATCCAGTGGATTCTGATTACGGTGATCCTATAACACCGGGTAGAACCGCCCCAGTGGGTTTCCCAGACTGGAACTCTTTATGGGAGTGGACAGCTCCATCTGCCTTCCAGTGACACACAGTAGGAGCTTCACAAATATTTTTGAGTGAAAAACTAACATTAGGTACAAATGTGCTTGACACAATGGGTGGATTGTGATAAGACCTGTAAGGGCCCCCAATAAAATGATTCATTAAAATTTTTAAAGAGAAAAAGAAGGATTATAGTTGGAAACAGTGTTGTCTTATTCTTAAACTGAAAAAAAAAAGGTGGGGTGCATGTTCTGTGAAGTCATTTACCGTATATACTCAAGTATAAGCCAAACTGAATATCAGCAGAGGCACCTAATTTTACCATAAAAACAGCATTAAAAAGGTCCTGAAAAACTGGGCTTATACGCGAGTACATACGGTATAAAGATTGTGTGCTTGACTTTAACAAACAAAACCCAGCGGTGTTTCCCTCAGCTGTCCTCCCAGGTTCTGGCCACTGGGTCCAGAATGTACTGTTGTGTCTGACTCATCGGGACCCTGGGGACCAGGGAGCACCCAGGATTCCGTGCCATCTGCCTACTAGTTGCATCCACCCCCCCACCCCCAACCCCCGAGGGTCTTCCTCGTTCTCACTGCCCTGGACTTACAGGGATCCCCGTGTGCTGTGGTGCCAAGTTGGGCTGTGACCGCATGGTTGGGAAACCACCAGCAGACTGGGTTTCTGCCCTCTGGGAATCCCATGGAGGGGCACTGGGAGCCAGCACTGACTCCTCATTGGCAGTGAGTTTGGCTGTGGTTTGGTGGCTGTTTTTTTTTCATCATTTTATTGGGCGCTCGAACAATTCTTATCACAATCCATCCATTGTGTCAAGCACATTTGTACATCGGTTGCCATCATCATTCTCAACACATTTGCTCTCTACTTGAGCCCTTGGTATCAGCTCCTCTTGGCTGTGGGTTTGAACACTTTCCCAAGCATGCTGTCCTTCGCCAGGGGCAGGTTTCTCCTCCTACACATCCAAGTAGGTCTTGCCATCCTCTCTCTTTTTAAATAACCAGCGAGTAAATCTTTTCGTGAAAGGACACTTCTCTTCTCAGATCCTTCATTTCTCCTTCTGTTAAAAAAAAAATGGGAGGCAACTGGCTCACCCAGTTAAACTATTTCTCCTACGGCCTAACGCATGGATCTAACCACTGGTCAGCATCAAGGAAATGGATTGACGGCGGGGGCAACAATGGGCACAAGCACAGGAACAGGTGAGGTGGGCGCAGGGCCGGGCCGTGTTTCCGTCTGCAGTGTCCCTATGGGTCGGAACCGCCCCATGGCACCTAAAAACAACGAGAACTGGACTGCCAACCCCGTGCTGGGCGCAGAGGGAGCGGAACAAAGTCCCAGGCCCTCTGGGGCTGGCATGGTCTGGGGGAGGGGCGGAGGAGAAGGCATGCTCGGAGGGAGGGGGCGAGAGCGACAGGCGAGTAGGTGGGGTCGCGAGTCCGGGCCCCTCGGCCCTCCCCCGCGGTCGCTGGCTACCCCAAGCGCCACCGCCTTCGAGTCTGAGCGCGGTTTTCAGGTGGGCCGACCACGCCACTCACCTGGCGGCCTCCCCTTTAAGAGCGCTCACCTGGGCGCTCACCTGGGCGCGGGCGCTTCCGCAGGAAGAAGGAAGCGGCGGCGCCTGGGCCTCCTGGCGCTCCCTCTCCGCCTCCCAGCTTCGCCGGCCGCCACCATGTCCGCCTCGGCCGTCTTCATCCTTGACGTCAAGGGCAAGGTGAGGCCAAGCGCAGGTGGAGGGGGGCGGACAGGTGAGGCTGCGCTGCCCCCGCCCCAGCGGCGGCCCGCTCCGAGCCAGCCTGGGAGGCTCCCGGAGGCTCTCGGGAAGTGGGAACACCTACGCACCCCCCACTTCGCGCCAACTCGAATCCCCTGGGAGCCCCGGGGGTGAATCCCACCTGCACCTTTTATGGGCCGGTCAGCCTGGGACGCCGTGTTTCCCCATCTTTTCTCTTTCTGTAACAAGGGGGGCAATTGAGCTCTCCAGCAAGCAGAATCACACAACGCGGTGCGGGGCCAGCGCTTAGCAGAGAAGCCCCACCACAGACATCAGGTGTTCAGTATTGCGAAATTGATTGTTTCAATCATCACCCATGTTATTAACATCTGAGAACGGCGTCCGAGAGCCAGCTAAGCCCACTGCCACCCGGGCCCTGCCGGCTCTTAGCGACCCTGTAAAGATGGGGGTAGATGCGCCATCTCTGAAAGCAGACGGCTGCCACTCTGACTTCGGCAGAGCAGGTGAGGAGTTCAACACTGTGCCGCAGGTACCAAAACCAACCGACTCACCGCACAGGGGAGGATTGTCCCTGTGGATTTCTGAGACGCTTTTCCGGGATTCGAGAATCCGTGGAAAGGCTGGTGGTTTTGAACTGCCGACCTTTCAGTTAGCAACCTAATGTGTCTCGACTACTCCACCATCAACTCAAACCAAACCGATCAGTTCTAACTCCTAACGACACTATAGTCTGGGGTAGAACTGCCCCTGTGGGTTTCTGAGACTGTCACTTGAAGGGAGGAGCCCTGGCGGTGTCTCACCACAACACAAGGTCAGCAGTGGGAATCCCAACCCTCCTCGCCAGGGCGATGTAGCTTTCTCCTCCCAGAGACACTCCCAGCCTGGGACAGCCCGGGGACTGTGCTATCCTGTCCCATAGGGCCTCTGAGCTGGAGCTGACATATGGGCGCGAGGTAATTCTTTATAGGAGTAAAGTCTCTCTGCTGATGGTTTCAAATGGCTGGTCTTGCAGTGGGCACCCTAATTTCCCCTTGGGGCTGCCTTCTCTCTTTCTGAAGCCCGAGCAGTGACCATGGCGGTGGTAACCGTGTAATAACATGACAACGGTGATGGTGAGGGCTTCCCTGTGTGTAGACCGCTGGTATGCCCTCCCTGTGCTAACCACTTGACCAGCAGCCTAAGCATTTTATTATTGAAAAACTATTAAAAATATATTCATAATAATACAAGGTATTGTGATAGTATTAAATATATATTTAAACATATTTAGCCATCCTCCTTAGTATAGTGAGTATCTCTGCCTGTCACTTGGGAGAAAGGGGTTCGATCCCCCGATGGGGAGGCACATGCCCTTTCAAAAACAAACAAACAAACAAACAAGCATTTAACATAAGTATTTTAAATATGTTTTTCCTTAAATGTATTTCTACGAAATATATTTAAGGAATAAAATTTAATATTAAATATATAGTAAATTAATATATCAAAAATATATATTAAATAGAAATACTATGTTAACATATCTAAGGGATATATATTTTAATATATTATCATATATGTTAACAGTATCATCATAATAATGTAACTGTTAGGATTGAGTTGACTGCCTCTGAGCTCCAGCTATGAATTCTATGCTGACAAGGGGAGAATCTTCCCTTTCCCCTTTCTTTTTTAATCATTGATCTTCACCCATTAGAGACCGGATCAGGGAGTGGGCTCAGCTAAGTGCAGAGTCACCAGTTGAGAACCACTGGGCACTCCTCAGGGCAAAACGCGGAGGCTTTCTGCTCCCAGAAAGAGCTGCCGTCATGGAAACCCACAAAGGCAGTTCTACGCTGACTTACAGGGTGGCTCTCTGAGTTGGCATTGACACAGTGATCCTGAGTTTTGTTTTCCCCAAGGAACTCTAGTGGCACCATTGGGTAGTATACCGCTAACCAAGAGGTTGGCAGTTCAAACCCCCAGCAGCTCAGTGAGAGAAAGGTGAGGAGGCTCTCTGCTCCTATAAACATATATAGCCTTAGACATCCTATATGGGGTCACTATGAGTCGCCGTCTACTCCATGGCGGTGGGTTTGGGTTTATTCTGACTCCGCGGTTAAAGGCATCCTGGTGGCACAGCCGTTAAAGTGCTCCTCAGCAGCAAACCGAAAGGTAGGCAGTGCCAACCCACCAGCCACTCAAGCGTGGAAAAGATGGGGTGGGTGTGCTTCTGCAAAGATTTACAGTTTCCTCTCGGGAATGCAAGGGGGTAGTGTCCTGCAGGGTCACTCGGGCAGTGGGGTCGCTTTGGGTGCTTGCTGTTGGGATCCTGTGAAGCTCTGCGTGAGGACAGGAGGGCTGGGTTTCTGTGGGAAACAAGGATTTCTCCCAAGTTCTCTCCCCCAAATATATGCCAACCCTAGCTGCTTGCAAATGACTATACACTTGGAGGTCATCAGAAGTAGATCAGGGGTTATTCTCCCTAAGGGTTATGAGCCATCTAGAGCAAGCAGTCACCACTGCTTATCCCACAACAAGTAGGGCCCACTCCCTTCTGATAAGGATAGTAGTCTGTTTCCTTATAGGAGACCCTAGAGAGGTCAAACCCGCCCAAGGATGACCAAGGTTAGGCTGCCATCATGAATCTAGGGTCCGCCCATCTTGTCACATATATACCTCTAGTCCCTCCCACTCCTATGTGCACACCCTAGCTCATCCCTTCCTGTCACCCTCATGCCTATCGTACATCCCCTTCCTATGATGTGTATGCCCGTTGTGCTGCCCCTTCCTGTGACGTGTGGTTACCTGTGGTCTCTATGACCTCACTGTTATCTCTACTTATTATCACTGTGCAATTGTGCCTACCGGACCCATGATGATTTGTTGGGGGCCCTCCTTTCCCCCGCAGGTTTCCCCCTTGCTAGGGACCTGGTTTAATTGCTCTCGCAGAGCCTCCGTTTCCCCATGTGCCAAATGGAGTCAATGTTTCCACCTCCATCCAGGTATCACTCACTGCCATCAAGTAGCTACCGACTCATCGTGACCCTATTGGACAGTGTAGCCTATTGGACAGTGTCGAACTGCCCCTGTGGGTTCCCAGAACTACAACTCTTTATGAGAGTAGAAAACCTTGTCTTGCTCCCGCAGAGCAGCTGGTGGTTTTGAACTGCTGGCCTTGCAGCTAGTTGTTTAACACGTAACCACTATGCCACCAGGGCTCCTAGGTAGCGCACAGCAAGTTTCAGAGCGGTAAGGCGCCAAAGTGCTATAGGAATCAGCACAGGCCTATTTGACAGCCCGGGAAACCGAGGCTCAGGGCGGCAGAGCCTGGCCGACTCTCTCAGTCAAAACTTGGTGGTGGGTCTGCCCAGGACCTAGAAGGGTGATGTGGCTGAGGCTTGTCCGGCCTCACTGTTTCTGCCATTTTCAGTATTTAGAGCCCGTTGACTGTCATCTCACTGCTTGTATGTTCCTGTGCTTATATCCGACCCTCGGCTCCCAGCGTCCTGGGTAGAAATAAGACTGGGCTGCAGGGTAGATTTGGGAAGCGTGCCAAACTTGGTGAAGGGAAGGGTCCTTCTGTTGTTGTACGTTGTCTAGTGATGGCGCTCAGCATCCTGTTCACACAGCAGCTTGGAAAAATGCCAGAAATGAGTTGCCATCAGATTTCAATACGAAAAAGGATTTACCTACAGAAAATAATAGAAAGAATGGTTAACCTTTATATCTCTGAACGTTGAGTGAGATAGCTGTCCAGCTGCGGCCCTCCGTGTCTATGGTATTGGACCAACCTTCCTCATGCCGCCAGCCTTTCATACAGTTCCTCATGTTGTGGTGAC